AGGTAGTGACCCTTCTTTGTAATTTCATCTTATTCATACATTAGACGTCTTTACACAAGCATACATACCCCGAGATCCCTTTCTATTTTACTTTATTGTAGTCACTACCGGGTATCTATAGACACTTTTACTTTCCATTGGTACCCATCCTTTTTACATTACGCCCGCTACGATTATTATTTCCTTGTTGGCCACCTGTGTTACATTTCTTTACATTTCTTCTCTTTCACACCCCGAACCCCAAACACACTCAACAACATTCCTTCGCCACCTTATTATAGCCATTTTATTTATTACAAGACTATATACCCATACCGACACTCTCGTTTCTGTTTTTGTTTATTACAACCATATTCCCCTTTCCGCCTTCTTTTTGTTTACCACAAGCATATTTCATTTTTACTTTTTCTTTTTGTTTATTACAAACCATATTCCCCTTCTCACTCGTTTTTCTTTTTGTTTATTACAAGTGACGCCTGACCACAGCTCGAAACACGACAAACACCTGCTATTAAAATTACTATAATCTCAGCCATATTACATATTTTAAATTTTGTTCGGTAAAATCTACCAAATATATCATTATTTTTCAGTTAGGATTATAGATTTTTTATTATTGTCCAATATTAATGAACAACCCAACAAAGAAAGAATTAATTACAGTAGTTAAGTTTGTATTTAAAGAAGTAATTAATAATTATCGTAATAATATCATTAAATGCAAATATCATCTATTTAAAATCATAACTGATATTCTCTGGGAAGTAACTCTACATCTCGATATTAATATATATAAAGCTCAAACCATACAAAGATTTCTTTTTGCCTTTATAAACAATAATAACACATTTCCAATAACAGAAACAACGTTATTACTCAAAATTTCATTAGTATTAAGTTATTTACAAGATCATCAAATAAACGAAATACTCGAGGTTATACCGAATTACGAATATCTCAGGAATAATAACACCAAACATACATATATTTAATGTGCTAATTTCATTTTCAATTTCAAAATTAACTAGACACATGAGTTTTCCTACTAAAGTAGAATTTATCAAAATAACAAAATATATTTTAAACAGAATCATATCAAATTACACAAACAAAATCATTACACATAAATTCCAGTTGCATCACATAATCTTAGATGCACTTTGGGAAACAACTTTGCGTATGAAAATCAACATAAACAAGTTTCTCATTATTCAAAGATTTATTCAAATATACACAACACCTAATTCCTATCCTTTGTTAGAATCAGCTATAATTCTCAAATTAACTATTGCATTGAAATTCTTATATGATAATACAATCGAGCAAATTTACGAGAAAATTCCTAAGACATATTTTCAATCAGACACCAGATTGTTAAACATAGAGAACTCCGCTTAAAATAAAATTAAAAGTTCTATTTATTATTATTATTATTATTTTTTTTTTGGCTGTTCGACTTAAATTAATGAATCAATCACCAATTAATATATATAGAAAAACAATAAAATATATGCTAAGATCATTGCTATTAGAATACCCAAAGGACTCTAGAATAGAAAATAGAAACACATTGAATCAAGTACTTGCGAATCTTGTTTGGAAAGCAACAGTTGATAGTTTTCAATATTCTCCGAGATTAGTATACGCTTTATTAAATTTCTTTGAATCAAGAATAATAAGGGGCGTATTATATCCAGAAACAGTCACAGAATTAGCCTTAGAACTTGTACAAATATTGGAAAAAACATATCAATAAGACAATACAAATGAATGTAAACTCTACAAACACAATTCCTGACATCATACTTATTAGACAATTACTAAAAGAAATAATTAAAACATTTATAACAGAAGTAGATTATGCAATTCAAATAAGTTCTATTATCAAATACAAAACTTTAATAAGGCATAATATTAACAAAGCATTTAAACAAACTAATATAAAAAACAGAGATATATTAGTAAATTGCACAAATCATATTTTTAATAAAACAATAAGAGGATTTTTATTTCCACAAACAGGAATCAAAATAATATTAAAACTTGTACAAATTCTAGAACTCACATATATTGAGCCACTTCATATTTTACCTACTTCGTATGTTTAATCATCTTAATGGAAAAAGATTTAACTGGCGATCAAATAAGTAAAATACTCCAAAAAGATTTATATGAACTTGAATTTGCAGAAGACAAACCTGAATTTATAAAGAAAATTTCTATAAAATCAGCAAGACAAGAATTAGACAAATTAAACTTAATTAGCACAGGGTCCTTACCTGAATTAAAGGATAGATTATTACGACATATAGAAGGTACAACTACTGATTTCGATAAAATTAAATATTGTGATAAAATTACACAAACTGAAAAATCAATAATCTCTTCTACACACACAAATACAACTGACAAAATGACCGAACGAGTACCATTTTGTAAACCTGAAAAATTTTCGGGCGCACTACATGAGAGTGTGAACGCATTCCTGAACAAATACAACAGGGCAAGTATAATCAACGGGTGGTCGAATGAACAAAAAAAATCATTCTTGGCCATATATCTAACCGAAACGGCCCTTNCGTTTTTGGCCATATATTTAACCGAAACGGCCCTTCTATTCTTTGATAACTTCGAAAACGATAATATAAACGCTTCATGGGATGACACTGAAAAGGCGTTAAGACTAGAATTTGAACCTACAGCTCAAACTCATATGTTACGCACCATTTTAAATAAACGCAAACAACTACCTGATGAATCAATTTCCAGTTATATAAACGAAGCAGAAGCCCTTTGTAAGAAAATTGACCCCAAAATGTCTCAAACCGAATTAGTTCATACTATAATGAAAGGATTACAACCTAGAATAGCAAGATATGTAGGTATATTAGATAATAATACTCTCACAGAATTAAAACGAAATATTCGTAAGTATGAATCTATCGAGTTCATGATAGATGGTAGTAAAACGGAATTCCAAGATGAAATTAAACACAATATAGCTAGGGAAAATATATTCAATATCAATAACAGTGATAATCAAAATCGCATAGATGTTCTTGCATCACAGATTTCAAGAATTGAAGACATGTTATCCAAATGCACAATTTTTGGAAATCAATCTACACAACAAAACTCGAAAAATGAAAATTTCAAAACAAATTATATCAACAGAAAAGGGCTTAATAATAATAATAGTAATGATTACAGAGAACGCAATTATAATTATTATAGAAATAATAATTATGATAATAACAGAATACATAACAATAATCCTAACACAAGAAACAACAGTTATAGAAACAATGGATTGTATAACAACAAACCTTATAGTAATAATAACTATCAAAATGCCAAAATATATAATAACAATAATAGAGAGAACAATAGATATAATAACAGATAGAATTATAACAACAAAAATAATCAACAAAATTCTTATTATTCCAAAACCGCATGTATTCATTGCAATAGAAACAATCACGAATCAAATGATTGTAAGTGGAAACTAATATGCACATTCTGTAACAAAAGATATCATACAGAAGACGCATGTTACTTAAAAAATAATAAAAATGATTCAAATACAAAAAACCCCCTTTTAGGTTAAATGCTTCAATTGGAGACTTGCATTCACCTTACTCTCCAACAACAACAAATTCAAACGAATCAGATACAGTACTCATAATAGTAAATCATGACAGAAAAGCCAATGCTCTACACATATTAGGTAAACTACATAACGAATTCATAGAAGTCACTGTAGACAGCGGTGCCAATGTAAATGCCATCAGAAGAGATTTGGTGGATAATACAAAAATTAATAGAACACATAAATACAAATTATCTGGTCCTGATAATTCACCTCTCAATCTTTTAGGAACCATAGTAGTTGAACTAGAAATAGAACAAAAATTATTCAAATTCACAGCTTGTGTGATAGACAATCTAAGCAGCACCATTATTCTAGGCAATGACTTTTTGTGTAATAATGATGCTAAAATAGATTACTCAAAAAAAACACTCATTTTAAATAATAAAATTAAAACAAATTTAATGAATAGTAAATTTCCACAAGTAATTAAAAATGTTGACATAAATAAGGATACAATACCATCACATTCAAAAAATATATTTGAAACACATATAGATCTAATAGAAGTCCCTGAAAAATATTCAATAGTCCAATGTACATCTATTGACTTAAATCACACTTCAGACATTTCTAAATCCATAATACAAAATTATGGAATTTTAACACATATACTTAAAGATACAGAATTACATTTAGGCCAAGTAAGCACTATAGTTAGTAACAAAGTTATTGTTCATTATCTAATTATTAAAGAATTTCATGATTCACCTGTATCTTATTTAGACTTATTCGATAGTCTATATAATTTAAAAAATATAGCAATAGAAGAAAATTTTCAATTTATTGCTTTTTCTGCTAAAGACTTAACAAACAATCAACTTCATTGGGATATAATCAAAAAGGTTATATTTGACTTATTCAATAATGAGGCAATTGAAATACTCATTTGTTATCCTAATATTTCACCGAGATCAGAAAAAATTATATCAAACATTCAGACTAAGTTCAAAAGAATAGGAAGCATAAAAAATAAAAAAACTGATAAAGACATAAATACAGCGTTTCTTGAAATATTCTCACGATATACACCTGGTGAATCAGTTCCGTCTGATGGATTATGTGGAATTTATTCATTAATTAATGCAATTAACGACAACCAGGAAAATAACATTATCAATATAGACTCTATATGCAAATTACTCAAACTGTCTGAACTACCCAATTATTGGATTAGAACCCGCGACCCAAGGCGTCGTATAGACAAATCTTACCACTAGGCCACCGTGCACTTATGATTCAGATCCCGATACACTTTCATGTAGGTTGATAACGTGATGTGCGGCTGAGGGAAACACGGTACCGTGTCATGGAGTAGTGCCGTTAACAGTGAACGGCAAAGCATCCAGACCATCGGATGGGTCCCTTCCGAGATCGGGTATCGTTTTTTTTTTTTATAATTATATTTATACAATAAGCTTTATTTTATTATAAATTACCTTTTTCATAAAAAATTAACTTAACTTTTGAAAGTGTTCCAGAAACTCTGACACTTTTATATATATCTTAAATAAAAGCTCATAGAGCCCGAAATTTTGTTTTTTTCATAATATAGTATGTTATANTTTTATATATATCTTAAATAAAAGCTCATAGAGCCCGAAATTTTGTTTTTTTCATAATATAGTATGTTATATAAGCTTTAATTTAAGATATATTTATATAAAAGTGTCAGACTTTCCGGAACACTTTCAAAAGTTAAGTTGAAAAAGTTCTACTTTCTATATGCATTATTTAGTTTTGAACCCCCCCTTGTATAAAAGGAAATGGTCTAATTTAAAAAAAAAGTATAAAAGATGTATATAAATAGTACTTTTCATGAAAACAAATGCAAATGAGTAACGGCAAAACTAAAATTGCATTTTAAGGGATAATTTTGATAAGATATGACAATGTATGTTGGAATATTCAAATATTTATGTCAATTTTATACTACACGTGTAGAAAATTAACGTGCATATCAATAATATTTAACTAGTATATGGGGATTTTCGAATCCGTTTCTTAAAGTTATAAAAAAATGAGTATAAAATAGTATTACTTAAAATTAAAACAAATTTCAATTTTCATCAGTTTAGTGGCCAAATAAAAACAAAGCAATGACACGTGGACTATCTAGTATAGGTTGAAAAAAAATTGTCTCCTACTTTTTCGTTGTTTTATTTTGATAAAAGTATTAAAAATATTTTTAAATTCATTCCGTGTTTCTTTGAACTAAACAAAAATACATTTTTTATAGTGTTTAAAAATAAAAAAATTAACATGAAAATTATTATAGCATAATTAAATTTAAAACTAAAAAATGTTTAACTCAGAAAGCCACTAAAATTACTACAATATTTTATGTAAATAAAAATTCTACTCAAATGTGATTTATTCTTATGCCATATCTGCTTTAATTAAATTTAACCAATAATTTTAATAAAATTTAAATTTTTATATTTTAAACTCAGACAAAATTTTACAATTACATTTTTTTCCTAATTTATTTGAAATTAAAAAAAAATTATAAATGATTGTTTCAGCTCGTTATTAAAATTTTAACGTTTACCTAAATGCGTTGTCTGATATATGTGTTAAATACATGTTTTCTAAAGCATACTATATTTTAAAATTTTTGTCAACAGGAGAAATATTAGTATTGATAGATATTTTTCTTTTGAATAATGTATTTTCAACATATGGCAGTAAAGTATAAATGAAAATTTTTTGTTTTAATATTATAATAAAGTAAAAATAAATTTTAACACTGAAACCAAAAATTTACTATCATCAAACAACTGTTATTGTGTTTTTATCATTAGTGGGGACTGTTCTCTGGTACAAGCCTGTTATTAAACCTATCCCGTCCATCATTGGTCTAGTCAAGAACGATCTTTGACTCTCTAGAATGTGAAAAGGGGGCTATCACCCTCTGTAATATGTAAAGTTCAGGAAATAGAAGAATTTATAACTGATTATTACTAATTAAATTTATAAATTTAAAAACTGGCGAGACATAATAACTATACTAATGCTACATGAATTTATCTCATAAATTTACATAAAATATTCATAGTTTGCTAAAATTTGAGGAATTTTTCTTAAATACTGTGGTGTAGAGTTAGTATTTATGTCTATTTTAATTTGTCAAAACTTTCACTATTTTTAGTGGCACTTTTTCTTAGATTTAATTATAATATTTCCCAACTTCCAAAAACAAAAAATGATTTTTATTAATTATATTTTTAAAAAATAAATAATTTAATTTATAGCTTATACTTATACATTTAATTGATATTAAATTGTATGCTATTTTCTTGTATACGTAATCTATTATATAATATAATACTTTTAATGTTAGCCACTCAATTTCTTTGAAATCAAAATTATTTTTGGCATATTTTAGTCTCATATATATCTCAATTTATCAGTTATTACTTACTATTAATGAGTTCATCCTTTATACCTTATATAACAAACTGGGACAACTACAGGGCAATTCTCTCTCGTGACTTGAATAACCTACAGTTTATATTGGGGTAGACCCAATAAGGTTTATACCTTATAAAGGAGTCAACTTTTATCTCATTATTTTAGAAATTATTACAATTCTAAAATATACACTGAAATAAATTTCTGGGTATTACAATATTAATCATTAAATATTTTCCAACCGCACCTTTCCTCCCGCCAATGTACTAAAATATTAATATCTCTTAAAGTACTAGTCCAGAGTTTGTTACCAAACGGTAATTTTCTTTACTATATCATTTTTTATTTTATAAGCTTATTAAATATGTATGTTGCTACTTAAAAATATAAAGTTGATATCCTTTAATTTATAAGGGATGAATATGAGTATATGTTAAAATCAGTAAATAATGATACCAGAATCCTAAACTGTTAATATATTCATGATCTTTTCATATCTGAAAATGTTTCAGAAAGCTCAATATACTATAATGAACACATAAATTATTCAATATGAGAAAAGATTAACATCATCGATAACTTAATATAACCAATTTGATTAGGAGAAATTAATTTTATCATATATTTAATGTTTTGGTATTTTTAAGAGTTTAAATCTCTTTAAAATGTATTCGATTACCATCACCATTCCCTAAAAAAATATATAACAAATTAGCAAACACATACAACAATTGCCTTTTTTATTGTAAAATCATGAACTTATATAGTTCGTTATTCATATAAGAAATGATTCTAAATAAGTTAGGTAAATTTCTGTTACAAAATATTTAAATATACTTGTTAAATTCTTATTTACTAATATAAACTTTTTTACATTATAATAAGATAAACCTAGGTTCGTGATTGTTCATTAAAAATTCATTAAATTTCTAATAACCGATTTGGATTGAATTCGTAGATTTATTGTTAAACTAATAAATTCACTAGTTTTACATTAAATCTACTAAAAAATTATAAAGCATCAGTAGAGATAATTATAGATCTCAAGTCATAGATTAAATGTTGTAAAATAAAAAAAACAAAAAAAATGGGGTGCCGCCACTTAATAATCAAGAAATTATAGGGAATTAAAAAAAAATTAAAGAATTTTTTTAACATAATTATTATTGTAAGATAAATTAAGTAAATAATATAAAAAAAATCCCTATATATATTTTATTATGAAAAAAAAAACAGTAATTCGATATTGTAAAAATAATTTAAAAACCTTTAGCAAAGTGGGGTGGTGGCATAGTTGAGTCCAGTATAGATCTGACAGTGATTAAAATCACTATCATAAAAAACGCTTCGATGCCAATCTGTAGATAGTGTTTAATTAAAAAAAAAAAAATTTGTTAAAATAGCATATTTTTGAATACGGTAACCTTTTGCGCATAGAAGATAGGTCGTCGGGACGAATTTTTTATTTTATTTTATAGTACATGAAATAAGCTTTAATTTGATATATGTTTAAAGAACGCAGTATTTCCGGAACATTTTCAAAAATTAAGTTGAAAAAGTTATTTTTTGTAAAAAAGTTACTATTTTAAATCCTCCCAGTGAGCAGAATAAGTGTTAGATTTTCAAAAAAAATTATATCAAATGAAAGGGAAATATCTAAGGTTTCAATACAAAAAAATATTATTTTTATTTGTTCATTTTTGAAAAAGTTATGGCAGTTTTAAGTACAAAAAACATCCTGATAAAAGATGATTTTTATCGCAAACATTACATTTTTTTTTAATTTTCGACAGCCATTTACACATAGAAGATAAGATGTCGGGACAAATTTTTTTTTTTTCATTTGATAGTATATAACATAACCTTTGATTTGATATATGTTTAAAGGACGCAGTATTTCCGGAACATTTTCAAAAATTCAGTTGAAAAAGATCTATGTTTTTTACAATATTTCAAGTTTTGAACGCCCCCTATATATGGGGAATTTGTCAAATTATAATAAAAATTATTTCAAATGAAAGATGTACTTATAATGTATTTAGAAAAAAAAAATTTGTGCTGATATATATATTTTTCAAAAAGTTATAGCATTTTTAAGTAACAAAAAATAGTGTTTTTTAACTATGGCAGCCGTTTAAATGTAGAGATAAAGTGTCGGGACAAATTTTTTTTTTCATTTTATAGCACATAAAATAATCTTTAATTTGATATATGTTTAAAGGACGTAGTATTTCCGGGAAAATGTTCAAAAATTAAGTTGAAAAAGTTAATTTTTGTAAAAAAGTTGTTATTTTAAATCCCCCCCCAATGAGCAGGTTAAGTAATAGATTTTCAAAAAAACGATATCAAATGAAAGGAAAATATCTAAGGTTTTAGTATAAAAAAAAATTATGTTGATTTGTTGATTTTTTAAAAAGTTATGGAAGTTTTAAGAAAAAAAAATGACAAAATTTACCGATTTTTAAATTTGTAATTTTTTTGAAGGTTTCCCCTATTTACGGAGAACGAGGGAAATTTTTTAAATTTTTAAGGGTAATGTCTCCAACTAGATACGATTTGTGATCTTTTGACGTATTTTTGAAAGAAATCGGTCCAGTGAGAGCTGAGAAAAAGTGGCAACAGGCATAAAAAAAAAAAAAAACACATCATAGTAAAATTAATACCTTCTCAGGTTCGCATCGAAGCTAAAAATAATATTTTATATTAAACTGTCAACTATCATAATTAGATATTATTTTGTAATTTAAATAAAATTTTAAAAATCAAAGAATAATTCATTATTGTAATTGTATAGGGATTGTAAAAAAATATACAGAAGACAAAAAAATTTGTCCATTTGAAAAGGGTACGACAAGTAAAGCGGCTTCAATTGGTGACATAGAAACATTAAAACTAGCTTACGAGAGTGGATGTGAATGGGATAAAAATACAACAGAGAAAGCTGCTGCAAGTGGGAATTTAAAGTGTTTAAAATACGTCTATGAAAATGGAGGTAAATGGGATAGTAAAACCACAATGGCTGCTGCTGCAAGTGGGAATTTAAAGTGTTTAAAATATGCTCATAAAAATGGCTGTAAATGGGATAAAGAAACTACTAAGGCTGCTGCATCAAATGGACATATAAAATGTTTACAATACGCACATGAAAACGGATGCAAATGGGACAATGGTACGACTAAAACTGCTGCAGAAGGCGGATATTTAGACTGTTTAATATATGCTCACGAAAAAGGATGCAAATGGGATGTAGAAACGACTAAAGCCGCAGCGAAAGGCGGTCATTTAGACTGCTTAATATACGCTCATAAAAACGGATGTCCGTGGAATGTATCGACAGCAGAAGCAGCAGCAAATTATGGTAATTTAAAAAACTTAAAATACGTTCATGAAAACGGATGTAGATGGAATGTACTACTTTCTGTAGTATCAGTAATGTGATTTTTTTTCCTAATATAGCGCTTGTTCAGGGGAAAATATTATTGTTGGAATTTTTTTTCTATTAACTGTGTTAACTTGATTGCTATCATCAGTTCCTGAAATGCTCTAGTAGATATGAATAAGTAGTTGTCTTGTATAATTTAAATATTCATCACTTACATTTCTTTTAAAAGAATTCTAATAGCAATAGATAACGACAAAAAAATTTCATATATCTCTTGTTTAAGAATATTTTGAAACACTACTAATCCTGTATAAAGTAAACATTGTCTCAGTTCTGAGGCCTTCCATCTATTAGCTTCTCTGATAAGATGGGATCAGAAGCAATAATTTCATGTAAATTAGATGATGACGTACAGTGGCGTAACTAGAGTTCAAATCTTGGGGGTGCTACAATAACAAATCACATACATATTACATATTTACTAATTATTTACAGTAATTAGTAGAGCTCGGATGTTTATGACTTTGCATATTTTTTTCGCGTAATATGAATTAAACCCAAGTATGATATAAATTTGATTCATGAAGCCTAGATTACAATTACGTAAACTTATTTAGCATATTTTTGCATATTTGACGTTTTTGAGCATATAAATGCATATATTAATTATTTCTAGAAATAGTAGCATATATTTTATAATTTGCATTCAAAATATTAAAAATTTGTTTTTGATGAAGATCCGTAGAATGCTATGTACAATAAGTAAAATTACTTTTAGAATTTAGATATTTATAAATTCGATAATCGATATTAATAATATATATACAGTAAAACGCCGATTAACCGGACGCCAATTATCCAGAACGCCGTCTAGACACATGCGCGCTTCATTTTTCTCAGAATTGGGTTATCTTTATTAAATTTCTTCATTTTACATCATCTGTACGTGTTTTCCTTTATAAAATATGTAAGCACATGATTGGTTTTCCGGAATACCGTTGGTCCCAATCAATACTGTATATCAATTATTATTTTTGTTAACATTTTAATATTCATTGTGTAGTGTTACAAGTTTAGTTTATTTGGTACTGTTCGTATGTAGGTGTTACGCTGCGTTTAAACAATTTGTCTAAAAATTCACGTTTTTTTAAAATATATATTATCAAAATGCCGAAAAATTTGCTCAGTGGTTTTTTAAAAGAGTTTGGTGAAAATATATTTAGTTCTGATGGTAAAATATTGTTCTGCAAATTTTGTGAAGTTAAAGTATCTGCAACTAAACGATTTTTAGTTACACAACATTTAAAGACTGCAAAGCATGAGCATGCGGTAAATCAAAGAAAAAGACGCAAACAGAGTACAAGTCAATCGTTATTAACTGAAAATACAAACAAAAAAAGTGATTTTAACTCTGATCTTGCTGATGCTTTACTTCCGGCTAATATTCCACTCTACAAGGTAAATAATTTAAAATTTAAAAAGTTCTTAGAAAAGTATACGTTTAAAAATATTCCCAACGAATCGACCTTGAGGAAAAATTATGTAGACAGTATTTATAAAAATACTTTATCTAAAATACAAGCCGAGGTCTTTAACCGTAAAATTTGGGTATCTATTGACGAGACCACGGATGTCGACGGACGCTATGTGGCTAATGTTATTGTGGGTGTACTTCATTTTGAAGAACCTGGTAAAGTCATGCTTGTTAATTGTGAACATCTTCAAAAAACAAATAGTACAACAATAGCTCACCTTTTTGATAGAACTATGAATTTAATTTGGCCTCAAGGAGTAGAACACAATAATGTTTTGTTGTTGGTTAGCGACGCCGCACCATATATGGTAAAAGCCGGATCAGCGATTCAAATATTTTTCCCTAAGATGCTTCATGTAACTTGCCTAGCTCATGCTTTACATCGAGTAGCTGAGCAAATCCGTAGTGATTTTCCGTTAGTTGACAAACTTATATCGTCCGTCAAAAAAGTCTTCCTTAAATGTCCAGCAAGAATACAAATATTCAAAGATGAGGCACCTGAGCTAAGTTTGCCCCCACAGCCAGTTATAACGCGTTGGGGGACATGGTTGACGGCGGCTATTTATTACTGTGACTCATATGAAACAATTAAAAAAATTATAGACAAATTTGATCCAAATGATGCTTTGTCTATAAAAACAGCTCAAGAAGTTATGAGTGAACGAAGAGTTGAGGCCAATTTAGCTTTTATAAAATCAAATTTTTCATTCTTATTTTCAGCTCTAACATCTTTAGAAGAAAAGGGGAAAACTTTATCCAAATCGGTTGCTATTATAAATACCGTTTCAGAAAAATTAGAAGTTGCAGCATCAGCTTCTCAAGGTAAAACAATATACACAAAATTTCAAAATGTTTTGGAAAAAAATTCTGGATATAAAGTATTGTCAAAAATTTCTAAGATATTAGATGGGGAAACAGAATCACTTGAAGGACTACCTGAAGTTATAGAAACTAACGACATCGTTAATTTTAAGCACGCACCGATTAACTCTGTAGATGTGGAGCGGTCATTTTCAACTTATAAAAACATACTGTCAGATCGTCGAAGGTCGTTCAAATTTGAAAACATCAGCAAAATTATCGTAATTCAGTGTAATCCTGATATTTAAAATACATTTATAATTTTTTTTTCATATTAAATATGTGTGTTTTGTAATAAAATAATTTTAATTAATTTACATTAAAAAGGTATAAAAATTTTTTCGAATTAATATTAACCTCTTTTTTTTTGCATATAGTTATTGAAAAATTGGTATATTTAATATATTTTAAGGCATATAATTGCATATTTTTACATTTTTAAATGCATATTTTAATTAAATTTTGGTCATAAACATCCGAGCTCTACTAATTAGTATTAGTTATGTAATATATAATTATAAAATATAATATAGATTTTGTTACTTACAGTCCTTATAATAATTTCAATTGGTATATACAAATAATTTATTTACAATTGTTGTTTTAAGTATTAAGTATATTTTTGTGTTCAATTGTGCATCGTGGTAATCTTCGTTAATTTGTTATATGCAAGTATAAGTAGTTTAATAATTACGTCTTTTCGTATATTAAGTCGTACTATCTTTTTTATAATTTGTTTTTGATAATATTTCTACTATCAGCATACGCTTTAAAACATTAGCTAGTTTCTTCTTCCACTTGTTAGAGACTAACCTCTAGTGGCTTACTTTGATGAATTTAACTCCGAGTACTTTTTCTAATATGTCTTCTCCTGGTGCAACCAATGCAACTTCAAAAAAAGTTGCTGTCCGTTCTGGTGTTAGTACGAGATTTTCAAGTACTACTTCTAATGAAGATTTAATGCAAATTATTTTGTTCTTCAAAGCTGAAGTCCTCGCCTCCAATAAAGCACTTTCTGATTCGCAATCTTTGCAGTTCAATACACTTGAAGCAGAAATATTAAAAGTTTCTGAGCAAGTGAGTGAACTCAAAGCAGAGAATATAATATTCAAAAGAGATATTGGTTCACTTAAGCAAAAATTAGTAGCCTTGAAGAAAACAACTCGTCTGCTAACCCATCCTCAATCACTAGCCAGGTTTTGCAAGAACTATTTGAACGAGATCGTTGTTCTTCCAATGTGATTCCTTATGGTGTATTAGAGTCTACCTCTTTAACTGGTTCTGAAGGATTTCTACATGATGAATCCATAATTAAAAATATTTTGTTGCCGGTTAGAAATTACCTTCCAATCTCAAATTGAATCTCAAATTGAATCGGATTGAGAAACCACGTCCAGGTATTACCCACACACTTAAGCTAATATATACTAACAAAGAGGAAGCACAATTTTTGCTGTACCATACAACCAGGTTAAGCGGTCAGGTACTCAATTCCAAAATGGTTTTAATCTTGTCAAGGATAAAACCAAATTTGAACGACAACTACTACGTGCTTGTCACAATGATCTGTTCTCTCGTACAGCTCAAGGTGAAACAAATCTACGTATATATTATACGTATATATTACGTATTATACGTATATATTATATGAAAATGGTGTTCCATCTGTGATCAAATCAATTCCAAAAAACTGGGTTCGTGAAAACATACCAATCGACAACCAGAGATTCAGCAAATTTCTCAACTTTCATAGTTCAGCCATGTACACTAGGTTTTCATGAGCATGTATATTTTTATAATAAATGCCAAGTCCACTCTTAGTACTTTTATATTAGATTTCTACAATTTTAAAATTAATAAGTCTTGTCCTCGTGATTTACCTACAATTAGCTATACTACGTCGAATGATAATGTTCCGTTTGGTTTTTACCAAAACTGTCGTGGTCTTAGGACTAAATTTTTTACTCTTAAGTGTAATTTTGCCAGCTTTAATTATGTATTTTTTGTTTTAACAGAAACCTGGCTTAATTCTGATATATTTGATTCTGAATTATGTTTGGATAATTATAATGTTTACCGATGTGATAGAAATATTTTAATGAGTAATTGTACTAGAGATGGTGGTGTCCTTATTGCTGTGCATAAAGATTTTCATTCACAAATTGTTTCTATCTCTAATTTAAGTATTGAACAAATTTATGTTAGTTTTAGTTGTAATAATGACAATTTTATAGTTGGTGGTGTATATTTTCCTCCTAACTCTCCTATTCAATCCTATGATACTTATTCTAGCACAATTAAAAATCTAGTTTGTTGTTATAGCACCCATAGTTTTATTCTATATGGTGACTTTAACTTACCTAATATTAATTGGTCTAATGATAATTTAAGTATTTTCTATTCAATGGCTTCCAAAAACAGCCTATTCCCGAGACTTTTGATTTCTTAAACTTTTATCAAGTTAATAATGTTTTTAACGTATACAATTCAATGTTAGATCTTATATTTACAAATAAGAATCTCTTTAAAGTTAATATGGTGCACGATCCAATTGTTCCTGAAGATCGATATTATCCTGCATTAGCTATTGATTACCCAACAAATAAAAAAATCCGTTTTTTTATGCCGTTGAATCATATTTTAATTTTATGAAAGCAGATTATACACGTATTTCAGATTTTTTCTTATCTTATAATTGGTTGGATACTTTTACTCAACTAGACGTTAATTTAACAACATCAAATTTGTATGATGCATTACACTTCTTTATTCTTTACTGGGTTCCACCTGTTAACTATAATAAATCTAATTTTCTTTGATGGTTTTCTAAGGATTTTTGATTGATACAGTGTTTCAAAAAAGAAAAGCCCACGCCATTTTTAAGGCAACACGTAATCCACTCAATTACAGAAAGTTTTCTCTACTACGTGCAAAATACAAATTTTTATCGAAAAATTGTTACAGAAAATTTATTGAACAGACTGAATCTAATTTTTGTATTAATCTAAAAAAATTTTGGAACTTTGTTAGAAAGAGTGAATCTCAACAGTCAATTCCTAAAACAATTAATTTGAATGGGTTTACTATTACTAATAGTATAAAAGTTTCTAATCTATTTTCTAAACATTTTTCTTCGGTATATGCTCAGTCCAGTGATATTGATAATACGTCGGTTTCTCCACATTTATCTTATGATCTTCCAAGCAATTGTTTTTTTAATATTAGTGATGTCGAATTAGAATTAAATAAATTTTACGGTAACAAATCAGTAGGACCAGATGGTATCTATGGTGAATTTCTATACATATTACGTTTGTCTTTATAGTATCCATTATGGCTTATTTTTCGTAAATCACTAGATGAAGAAATCTATCCAGATCTATTTAAGCTTAGTGTCGTAACACTAGTACTTAAGTCTGGAGATATTTCTAATGTTAGTAACTATAGACCAATTTCACTATCTAGCCATATAGTCAAACTTTTTGATTTACTAGTATTGCATTTTATTAAACCAGCTATTAATTCGGTTTTAATTGATGAGCAACATGGATTTTGTCCTGGTCACTCAACGACTTCAAACAGTCTAGTTTTTAATAATTACATATTTGAGGCTTTTATGAATCGCTCACAAGTAGATGTAATTTACACAGACTTTACCAAGGCTTTTGATCGCGTTGATCATAAGTTATTAATGAGAGTGCTGATAGATTCAGGTTTTGTTGAACCATTATTGTTGTGGTTTGAATCTTATCTACGAGATTATAAGCAATTTTTTAAGGTGTTGAAAGGTTACAAATATAAAAAAAATCAAATTAATTGGCCGCAACTTGAAAGTAAAACTCAATAATAGAAAAATATCAAAATTTACTCATTAATAGTAATAGTAATAATTAGAGAAATGCATGTATTTAAACATTTTCAAATTTTAAAAATTGATGGTTATTATCAAAAATAATACACTCTGTTTCTACATAATAATCATCACTATAATGGTTAGCGTATATAAATACTAATTTGTATTCAATTTATTTTTACATGATAATGTTATTATATTGTATTACATTATTATATTAAATAATTAATTAATTTACTTACATTTTCCCAACAAAAAAATTTACATTCCCATTCAATCATATCATCATCGAAATTATAATTTATGCACATGAGTATTTTTTTTACTAACAGTCATTCCCGAAACAAATTTGCCTTCTAATTCTGTCGTAGCACCCAAAAAATGATAAAAATCGCATATTTATTTATACCATTTATGTCCTAGTACTTAAAATCCTACAAAATATATTGTTTATTGGGTTCCACTCAGTTGACGCGTATATACACTTCAGCTGGGACACGAAATATTATATGACATCGTTTTCCAGTAAATTAAAAATAGTTTTAAATTAATTCGGAAACTATTTACTATTGAGGTGGTACATTTAAAACAATCCGACGTACGCAAATGTAAAAAAGGATTGGCGATTATGATTTTAACTCAACGGCGGGAAAATTTCCGTATCAGAAAATCAATGCCTCCGTACTACTCGATGTTCGTACAACGCATTCTCGTCGTAACACTAACCTTCCCCCCGCTATAACTAATACCACACAGCTATTTACTACGCGTTCATGTTTTCGTTAAAATCATTATTTATTCGATAACACCACCATCAGAGCTTCTTATCACAGTCGGCTGTTGGAAAATAATAAATCTCGAAAAACTTAAATCGCGATGCCGATGAGGTATTATAACTCTATCTATAATAATAAGTCGAGCATAAGTAGGTAAGTGTCGATTTAAACAAATAAACTGACAAGACTTGTTTTTTTAAAGCAGCGGTTCCCAACTGTACTCCATGGAGCCCTTGGTCCTCCGCAATATTTTTTCAAGGTCTCCGTTCGTTACACCATAAGAATTTGATCATTTTAAAAGCTATTTGTTATTTTTAACAATTTTAAAATTTTAAACGAATATTTATATTTTAAAAAGACTTTGTCAAAGGGAATTTGATAATTCCCCTATTCGTGTATTACATAACATATAATATTAAATCCCGATATAAAAATCTATAATTATCCACGCGATTAGGTCCGTCGTACATAAGTTATTTGTCAGTTTATAGTGCATATTTACAAACGACGTACGTGTATTAAATTTGATTCAATTATTTCATTATTTTATTATTTTATTTAACGACAGACGTGTATTTATGTTAAAATGGAACGGTGATTTAAAACGGGTTCTGTTAGACCTAAGCATCATCAGCCATCAACTACTGTTCAATCAAAAGAGAATTCCGAACACAATGTAGATGTAACTGCTTCAGAATCTACGATGCCTGATGTGGAGGTTTGAAAAGGAAGATTTTTCAGTATTGAATTCAATAGCTAAATTGCTCTTATTGCCTTTTGGTACGACGTATCTTTGTGAAACGGCTTTTTCGCGCTACACTGCTACCAAAACAAAATATCGAGCATGTTTGGAAGCAGAAGACGATATACGTCTCCAATTGACTTCTGTGACACCGGACACAGACAAACTTTGTCGCAAAATGCAGGCACATTGTTCAAATTAAGACTCGAACTCCAAGATCAAGACATGGAATATTATATATATATTTTTTTCAATGACCTTAACTCGTTATATTCTCATTTTTTAAATTTAAGTAATAAATAATATTTTCTTTTGTTCTTTTAATATTATTCTTTATTTTATTTGTAATTATCATTTTATTTTTAATACCATATATACACGATTCGTGTTTAATAGACTTCATAAAATACAGGTAGATAAATCAACATTAAATATTTCTTGGGACTCCACGAGAAATTACTATTTAAAAAAAGGTTCTATGGCTGAAAAAGTTTGGGAACCGCTGTTTTAAAGTAAGCAACAACAATATTGTAATAAATTCGTCGAATTTTGAATAGATTTGAAATCAAATCAATGTTGTTAATTTTTTGCAAAGTTCTTTCACTAAATTTTACATTATAATTTTAAAACCTAATATTTTTCATCGATAAATATTGTAAACCAACTCTTACATGTGTAGTCCGTAGGATAGATAAACTCTCAGAATAATTGAATCGGTCATTTCAAAAACGACTTAAGTCATTATGTCATTATAAGGCCGCTATCGGTTTTAAATGAACGTTGTCGTCTTACGTTGGTACGGTAATATAGGATGATTATCACTGCGATACACATAAAGTTACGCGTTACTGTACGGCAAATTCGTAACACAGGCAACGACGACGACGGAGAGAAGACGCCGTCCGTTGAAGTGATGGAAATCTCGCCCAACTGCGGTCTTCGACTACATGCCCGGACAACACTTTTTCGGTGCACGTGTACACCGGAAGGAACACGACGAATTTCCCGAAGCTGTGCGTCATGGGAAAATAGTGAGTGTGCCGTCGACTTACACCGTGGCGGCTTTGAAAAACTTTGAGACGTACGAACGCAGCAGCTCGGAAATGGACGTGTGGTTGGAGGTGGCGAGGTCGTCCATTTAAAAGCGGTCACATGGCGATTTTCTTTACTTTTGACGAAGCGTCCAAGAAACTGACAAAGAACTCGAGGAACGCGCTTTATGAAATGGGTGAGTATAACCCCCGTACTCAGGAATTCATTTACTTTGGCGACGGAATCGTACGATTTCTTGTTATTTATTTAATGTTTTCGATCGGTTTAGGAAGCGGACGGGTCCAAAATCTCAGATACAGGTGTCAGTGGTACATGGTCACGCAAAAAGGTATTTGAGGGATAACACCTTACGAGAAAATCACGTATTCTCACAAAAACGTGTGGGCGGAACCGTTAGACGACAGATTTTGCGTACCCTTTAAAAGTGAGTAATAGTAATACATTTGAAAAAATTTTCGCGCGAACAAAACAAAGCGTCACGCCAACAACAATTGCGCGCATGTAAAATTATTTAATTCAAAAAACACTAGCGTATTAAAAACTTTTCCGTATAATCTTTTCAATCGTGTTGACACACACGCTTTTCCGCAAACAAACAAACACCGTGCGATTTCAAACGCCCAGTGATTTTTTTAAATATTGAATCGCTCCATTATTAGCACTCGAGATTTTTTATTACGTCACATTATTGTATTCGGATTTAATATGCCACGACAATATTTCTTTTGTTCAGTCGAAGGAAATGCAATCGTTGTCGACGAACCGACCGACTACAGATCATCGTATCAATTTTGCAACAAGCCGACCTCGGGATCGAAGACAACAGCTGTGGACAATCAATACGGCGGCGGCGACTGTGACAAATCAAGTACGTGTTCTTTTAGAATGTCTATTTTAACTTCTCCTAACGCAGCAAATACAAGATACATAGTAAATGTAGTTTCTATTACGTGTGTATATTTTTTTAAACGATTAACCGAAGACTAGACGAGCCATTTAAGACCTGCGTGACCGCTATAACTTTTTAAAAAATCGTGTGGTAAATTTTTACAAATATAATATAAATAATAAATGAACTTCCATAAATTATCCGAATCGTTTGCTAATTATAAAAATAAATATAGCACAAAAAAAAAAAATAGCAACGACATAATAAATTAGTTACAATAGAAAAACAAACACACGTTACAACGTAATAATTTAAACAAAAATATACCATATATTTTTGTTAAAATAATTTGACAGTGTAGGAGTTGAAAAAAACTTTCTCACGTTTTAAATTCGACGAAAACAACTAAGAAAACTTATAGTAGTCTATAATGTTGTTCGACTATTGCTATGATTTTGGTATTTTGATTTCAGATGATGACGACAGACAAACGACTGACAGCGTCGCCGAAACAAGAGATACTTTTAACTATTATTATTAATATGGAGAAGTTCTCTTCAACACTGCCCCACCAATAAATCATTAACGAGTCATTTTCTGGGCTCATAAAATGTCTGTAGATATTTCATATAAACGTAGATAGTTGTATTATTATTTTTATTTTTTTATCCCGAAAAAGCAGTACAATCGTCCAAATGGAATTATTTAAAACAAGTGTCTCGAACGCATATCTCTAAGAGAAGAGAAATCCAAAATCAAAAGTGGTGACGTGGCATAGTTGGATCAAGTATAATGATATCTGACAGTGATTAAAATCATTATCAAAAATAAACACTTCAATGCAAATCTTTAGATAGTGTTTAATTTTAAACAATTGGTGGATTATTCCAAAAGCTACATGATCTGCTATTTTCTTATTAATATCCTGATTAAGATAAAGTATGTCGAATGAAAAAGGGATTATTAAAAAATATTATTTCTCATAAAAAAAATGTTTTGATCCATACACATTACATATGCTTTAATTTAAGATATATATAAAAATTAATTATATTTATTTATTAAACTTATGGCAATTTTAAGTAAAAAAAAATAAAAAAATTAGTTGATATTATTATTAAGTTAATATTATCTATAATATTAACTTTTGACACTAAACTTAAAATATACATTTGTGAAAATAATTAACATTTTCTACAATAATAAATACGCTTCTGCTAACCAAATACGATTCTCATTTATTAACATACCTACTATAGTTTTAAATATATTCTTAATAACCATAAATCTACAATTAAGATTCTATCATCATCAGTGAATATCAGGTAAGAGTACTTTTAATACACTAACTACACTAATAAAGTAATAACTAGAAACAAAGTACTTTTATCTATTATGTCTTTACAGATGATTCCATTATCATTCTTCTTTATGAATACCATTCTCATCAACTTTATTTTTAGTTATTACAAGAACATGGAATAACTAACTGTTTAATTGATAAATTACAATTTTTTTTTTTCAATTTTTGAGGGTAATATCATCAACTAGATACGAATTGTAGTCATTTGACGTATCGTTGAAAAAAGTAGGTCAAGTTAGAGCAGAGAAAATAAATAATAGTCACAAAAAAATATCTTCTCAGCTTTGCATCGAAGCTATAACTTAAAATATAGTAAAATAATTTTAATACGAATAAGAAATATCTTCTTGCAAGGGGCGACTAAAGTAATGGGATCCTTGATTTTTATTGAAGTTATTGAATCTAAATGAGATAAAAATCAAAGAAGTATAAAATTTATTCAAACTTAAAAATAATTAAGAAAAAATGCAAAAAGTTCATTGCCATACGCGGGTTGGAACTTCGTACACCAAGCTTGTAAAACATAAGTTTTACCTACTCGGTAACCGTACGTTGGTACCATCGGGAGAAAAAATTGGCTATTTAATCTAGTTCAAATTTCAAAATATTTTTTTTCTACTTCAAAAAGCAAAAAAATTTAAATAAGTTAAACTTTCTATGCTATATCAATTTTTTATTTATATAATATTTATGAAAATCTGTACTCCCCTGTCAGGTATTTTAAAATAAATAAAATACCAAAACCTAGAATTTTAACACAAAAATAGCATATTTTTGAATACGGTAGTCATTTTTACCATTAAGACAAATCCAGAGGTCAAATTTTTTTTTCCAATTAAAGTATATTACATAAGCTTTACTTTAAGGTATATATAAAAGTGTCAGTCTTTCAGGAACATTTTCAAAAGTTAAGTTGAAAAAGTTAATTTTTTGTAAAATAGTTACCATTTTGAAACCCTACCTGTCGACTTGTAAAGGGTCAAATGTTCACAAAAATATATAAAATGATAGGTAAATATCTAAGGCATCTATAAATTTTATTGATTCGGTCATTTTTAAGAAAGTTATGGCAATTTTAAGTAAAAAAAATTGAAGAAATGTCGAAAATTAGCGATTTTTAAATTTGTAATTTATTGGGGGATTTACCCCGTTTACGAGGAACGAGAGATTTTTTTACAAATTTTAAAGGTAATGTCTTCGACTAGTTATGATTTGTGATCTTTTGACATATTTTTTTATATTTTTAACTTAATAATGCTCTAACTTTTTCAAAAATGAACATATCAATAAAATTTTTTTTTTATATAGATGCTTGATGTCTTTACTTATCATTTGCTATATTTTTTTTGTAAATCTGACCCTTAATCTGCCCATAGGGGGGGGATTTAAAATGACAACTTTTTCACAAAAAATTAACTTTTTCAACTTAATTTTTGAAAATGTTCCGGAAGGTCTGACACTTTTATATATATTTTAAATTAAAGCTAATGTAATATACTTTAATTAAAAAAAAAAAATTTGACCTCTGGACTTGTCTTCACTGCGAAAATGGCTACCGAATGCTATTTTCGTGTGAAAATTCTCGATTTTATTTTTTATATAATATTTAACTTTATAATGCTATAACTTATTGAAAAGTGTATGGATCAACACAATTTTTTTATGAGAAATAATATTTTTTAATAATCCCTTTTTCATTTGACATACTTTATCTTAATTAGGATATTAATAAGGAAATAGAAAATCATGTAGCTTTTGGAATAACCCACCAATTTTTTAAAATTAAACACTATCTAAAGATTTGCATCGAAGCATTTATTTTTGATAGTGATTTTAATCACTGTCAGATAACATTATACTTGATCCATCTATACCACGTCATCACTGTGCCGTGACCCCCCAGTGCTGGGTTTGTTTTCATTTAAAGTTAACAAGGATAAAAGCATATTATTGAAATAATTTATTTTATTTTATAGTTATAAACTAATGATTGTAAATAAAATCTTTTATGCAATGTTTTTTCGATTCTATGTGAAGCTGAGGAGCTATTAATTTTACCATGATGTATTTTTTTTTGCCTGTTGTTACTTTTTCTCAGCTCTCACTGGACTGATTTTGATGAAAAATATGTTAAAAGATCTCAAATTGTATCTAGTTGAAAATATTACCCTTAAATATTGAAAATATGTCCCTCGTTCCCCGTAAATGGAGGAAATCTCAGAAAAATTACAATTTTAAAAATCAATATTCTTTGACGTTATTTTTACTTTTTTTTTCTTAAAACTTCCATAACTTTTTCAAAAATTAACAAATCAACATAATTTTTTTTTATGAAAACCTTGGATATTTTTCTTTTGATATCATTTTTTTAAAATTTAACACTTAACCTGCTCACAGAGGGGAATTTAAAATAGCAAATTTTATACAAAAACTAGCTTATTCAACTTAACTTTTGAAAATGTCCCGGAAATACTGCATCCTTTAAATATATGTCAAATTAAAGCTTTCAATAAATACTATAAGTTGTTAAATCAAATTTGTCCTGACACCTTTTCTTCTATAGGAAAAATTAACATTTTTATTTAATTTAATTAAAGCTTATATTATATGCTTATATTTACTATGAAAAGAAAAATATTCTTTATATTTTCTTCTTGGTGAAAATGGCTATCATAATCATAAATATGTTATTTTTGTGTTAAAATTCTAGGTTTTGTATTTTATTTTATTTTAAATATTTTACTAGGGGAATACACTGACTTTCATGAAAATTATATAATTTAATTGACATAGAATAAAGTTCATAAGACATAAGTATTTAAATTAATTTAATTTTTTTTTGATTTTTTATAGTTGATAAAGTAACATTAAAATTTAAATCAGCTTAAATTGCTAATTTTATCATCCAACAAAAGTGACGATCAGTTGCCGAATCGGTAACACTTGTGTCTTTCACGCTTAGGGACGAGGTTCCAATCCGACTGTGACAATTTATATTTGTATTAGTATATAAATGTTTAAATCATTTGATTTTTATCTCATTTAGATTTAATAACTTCAATAATTAATGAGGATCCCATCACTGTAGTCTCCCCTCGTATATATCCTCAAAATAAATAAAAAGTAGCTTAACCAGCTTTACCCATACAAACAATTAAAGCCATTCATTTCCAATATTTTTAAAGTATTTATTGTCGAATTAGATTTGATAAAAGTATTCAACTACAAATGTAAATCATTTTACTTTGTAATTTAATAATTTTTTTACTCTATTTGTGTGTACTACTACTAGACTATAATATTCCAAATTTTTTGGTAAAATGTTGCTATATAAATAATTTCTAAAAAAATGATAGTTAATTTCTCCTGAATTAACAATGGATTTTTACAATTATAATCAAATGTTATAATACGCTCAATGAGTAGATATTTTTAGCAACTTTTTTTTTATTGTTTTTTTTTGTTAAAGTAAATCATTGAAATTAATTCAGTTCTGCATATTTCAATTGTAGAATCTTTTTAAACACCAAAAGTTAATTATAAATGATTACTATAATTTATATTTAAGTAGTCTATTGCGATAAAAATGCAAAAACTATAGAAATTTTCTGATAAATTTACTGTAAATAGTAATTATAAAATTTTCTGACAATTTTTTTCTATTTATTGATGTCAATTTCTAATCTGTAAGTTGAAATATGAGTTATGGTAATAAATTCATTTTTTTTTATTATACATTTTCACTTTAAAGGACGAAAAAAAGTAGGTTTAAAATTATTAATTTATCATAATAAAAATATAAATCATTAATAATTTGAAAAGAATTAATTATAAAAATTATATAATATATAGTTAAAAATTATATATTATATTTTTGAATCTAAGAATTACGAATCTAATATAATTAAGGAAATAGAATATGATGTTGCTTTTGTAATTATCCACCAATTTCTTAGAATTAAACATTATCTACAGATTTGCATCAAAGCGTTTCTTATGATAGTGATTTTAATCACTGTCAGATTAAATTTATACTGGACCCCTCTATGCTACGTCCCCACTGTGCCACTACAAAATTATAGAGATAATATTGAATACATTATATAGATCAGAAAAATTGTAACACTATTATGTTTATTTACCCTTTAAGAATACTATTTTAGTTAAAAAAATCCTAAGTTAATAAAAAAAATTTGAAAGGCTTGAAATTTTATTTTATTTGGATATACATTATTAAGTAATGATATAATTTTATTTTCGCATACAGTTTTTGTGATTTAATGAAAAAATTATTATTTGGGGTAAAAGTTTAACGTAACTTTATAAGAATATATTTAAACTATTTTGAAATACATGATGTTTATACATTATTTTATTAAATTTGAAGAGAATTATTTTTTAAATATAAATACTCGATATTTTAGCTTTGATGCGTAGCTGAGAAGGTATTAATATTACTATAATTTTTCTATATAAATTTTAAATTAAAGCTTGTGAACATACTTTAATATGTAAAAAAAATTTCGAACTTTAAGATAATTCATGTAGAAAATGGCTACCGTATAAAAAAATATGCAATATTTATATTAAAATTCTTGATTTTATATTTTTAACTTTATATTTCTAA